GCTGCACCAGTTTGCACTCCCACCAGCAGTGTATGAGAGTTCCCTTCTCTCCACATCCTCTCCAACACATGTTGTTTCCTGTCTTGTTAATTATAGCCTAGTCACTTCTTTTGCGCATTTACTTTCTACTGCTGCCAGGTAAGTCTCCTATGGACTATCCCTAAATAAATGGTACCATTTACCCAGTCTCAGATGTCCAGCCTCCCCAAAACAACTATTTGCATATACCAGGTTCAGTTTCAAATGCATGACCATATTCTGATTGTCTTTTCTAAGAGTAATTGCTGACAGCTAGAGAAGACTAAGACTTCTGGTTCCCATTTCCAATTTTCCTAGGAGCCTCTTGCTCACTTGGTCAATTACATAAAACAGTCCTCTCAACTATTTTTAGTTGTGTTATATATTGTCTTCACAGAGAGATCATAACTTACTTGAGGCTGGGCCTATATCTTAAATATGCTTTTTATATCCACCACAGCTCTAGCAGATTCTGGTTTATTGTGTTTAATACTGAATAGTAATAGCATCACATATCACAGAGAATGCAACTCAGAAAAGAAAATAGAAATATACAAGAAAATATAATTTAAATTATCAACAAACACACAAGACAGATTAATATTTCATCTCACTTATTTGACTTTGTTTAAAACCTGAGACTCTGCAGAGTCGCGTGGTGGCGCTGCAGGATAAGATGGGGAAATTTTTGTAACCTCAGATGCTCTGGTTTCCATTAACCAGTGGAACTGAAAGCGCTGGAAGAGCAGGGGGGAAAAGAGGCTTTCAAGAGAAAGGTAGGGAGCAAACAACACCCTCTCGACAGGATTACAAGTCTAGAGATTCTCAATGGTCCAGGCTGATAGATGAGAGAAGTAACTCCCAGAGCTGTTCGGGATTGAGTTGAAACATTTCCGCAGAAGAACGTTTGGCTGAGGAGCCATGGAGCCGGGAGAGGTGAGCCGTCAGCAGATAAGGCAAGTGCTGCTTTTCTTTGTTTGCTTAGGAGGGTCTTTGGTCTGTTCAGAGACCTGGCGCTATTCTGTGGCAGAGGAAACAGAGATCGGCTCCTTTATAGCCAACATGCTGAAAGACACAGGTTTGGGTGTGGAAGACCTGGCTGCACGGGGAGCCAGAGTCATCTTTGATGACTATAAACCATATTTGTGGTTGGATCAGCAGACCGGCAACTTACTCTTAAATGAGCAACTGGACAGGGAGGCACTTTGCGATCTCACTGAGCCATGTGTATTGAATTTCCAGGTATTATTTGAAAATCCTTTGCAATTTTTCCAGGCTGAGCTTTGGGTCAAAGACATAAATGATCACACTCCCACATTCCTAGATAAACATATACTTCTGAAAATCTCAGAAGGTACTGCTCCAGGAACCTCATTCCAAATGGATAGTGCTCAGGACTTGGATGTAGGAAAGAATGGTGTCCAAAACTACACATTAAGCCCTAATCCACATTTCCACCTTAAATTACAAGACAGCGATGGGGGCAGAAAATACCCAGAGCTGTTACTGGACCAATCTCTGGATCGAGAAAAGGAGTCTGAGCTTAGATTAACGCTAACAGCTTTGGATGGTGGGTCTCCGCCCAGGTCCGGAACAGCTCTGGTTCGTGTTTTGGTCTTAGATATCAATGACAATGCCCCAGAGTTTGAGAGACCCATCTATGAGGTTCAAGTACCAGAGAACAGCCCTCTGGAATCCTTGGTCATCAAGGTGTCTGCTACAGATTTAGACGCAGGAATAAATGGAGAAATCTCTTATTCATTTTCCCACATCTCCAAAGACGTACGGAAAACATTTGAAATCCATCCAATTTCTGGTGAAGTCCATTTAAAAGCACTTTTGGATTTTGAGTTAATCCAGTCTTACACAATAAATATTCAAGCCATTGATGGTGGGAGCCTTTTAGGAAAATCAACAATTTTAGTTCAAGTTGTAGATGTGAATGACAACCCACCAGAAATACTCATGACCTCTCTTACCAACCCCATACCAGAAAATTCGTCTCCTGAGATGGTAGTCGCTGTTTTTAGCATAAGAGACCAAGACTCTGGGGACAACGGGAGGATGGTTTGTTCCATTCAGGACAATCTCCCCTTTCTCTTGAAGCCTACCTTCAAGAATTTCTACACTCTGGTAACAGAGCGCCCATTGGACCGAGAGACCAAAACCAAATATAACATTACCATCACTGTCACCGACATGGGATCCCCCAGGCTGAAAACCGAGCACAACTTAACCCTGCTGGTCTCCGACGTCAATGACAACGCCCCCGCCTTCACCCAAACCTCCTACACCCTGCGGGTCCGCGAGAACAACAGCCCCGCCCTG